ATGGGTTTTGGGTTAGACTTTGCATTTCACCCCTCCAACTTTTAATTTCTTCAATTGAGTCCCTTCTTTCTTTTTCTGGAATTTTCCAATTTCCTTTTGCATGTAGCACCTGAAACAAAATAAAGATATATTAGTCAAAGGAAAGGGAAATTTTCATACTTTTTTATTTTTTATTTTTTTCTTGCTTTTGATAAAAATTTGAGTTATGACACTCTCTAACCTTCTTCAGATCTGTTACGAACCATATTTATAGCCCCTTGCTCGAAAATAGCCATTTCTAGCCGTTGGGGGTCATTAAATGCCCTGTAGGACACAAAGCTCGAGTTGCAGGATTGTCAGGAGAGCCGGCTTAACTTCTTAGAGCCGGCTCTGCTTACACTTCCAGAGCCGGCTATCCGGGTTTGCAAACCATTCTGTTTTCCTCGAGAGCCGACTGCAAAACTTTGAGCCGGCTTTGGAACTCTGACTTTAAATACATTAAATAATCTTCAAATAACTCGACCATTGTGCATTAAATGCATCCTCACAGTCGGCTGCAAAGTTGGAGCCGGCTTTCCGTCTTTTCTCCACGCGTGCCAAACAACGGTCTTCAAATTTTTGCCCGTAGAGCCGGCTGCAGCTTCCAGAGCCAGCTCTCTGCGCTTCCAATTCACCAGAGCCGGCTGCAGCTTTCAAGAGCCCGCTCCCTGCAGATATTTAAGCCTTTCTGGTCCATTTTTAAGTGCAGTCCAAGTTTACTTATTTTGCAATCTTTCGACATTTTAACTACACACTTAAATGAACCAATTAGTCACTCAAATGTGTTTTGTAATCATCAAAATCATAGGTACAACATAATCCAGCTTTGCGTAGAACCAAATCGCCGACCTGAAACTGGCGTGCTCGAACTCTTTTATTATAAAATTTTATAACACGACTTTGATGCGCCATGTTTCTTATTCGAGACATCTCCCTAACCTCTTCTACAAGGTCTAGGTTCTCTCTTAAAAGTTGCTCATTATTAAGATTGTCATGGCGATCTGATCTATCAGATGGCAATCCGACCTCAATAAGGATGACGGCCTCTGCTCCATACGCTAGGCTGAATGGGGTTTTGCCTGTGGTCGAACTGGGTGTAGTGCGACATGACCGAAGCACTTTATTGAGCTCGTCAACCCAATTAGAATGTGCAACCAAAACACGCATCTTGAGGCCTCGCAAGACGATTTTATTGGCGGACTCGGCTTGTCCATTTGACTGTGGAGTATACACGGATGTCAAGGTGAGCTCAATGCCATAGTCGTTACAAAACGACCTCAGTGCCGTGGCTCAGAACTACGGACCATTGTCTGCGATGATCCGTTTAGGAATACCGAACCTGTACACAGAGGACCGAGCTAAGCCACAAATTATATTTGCATATAATGTACCAATGATTTAAGTCACCAAAGAATACCTGCACAATATTGAATTGAACAAGAATTCTTCTATTTTCTTTTCTGTTGTCATGGACAATGGTTTAGCTTCTATCCATTTGGTGAAGTAATCCACCGCGACAACAAGGTAGGTGCAACCTCCTTTACCTTTCACAAAAGGGCAGAGCAGGTCGACTCCCCATTGAGCAAAAGGCCAAGGAGATGAAAGTGATGAAAGCATTTCTCTTGTTTCAACAAAGATACCTATGCTCAGTTTATAGACAAACATGAAGTTTGCATGAGCTTTAGGACGAGCTCAAATACCTGGCTGTGAATGTCATCAGCGTTGAACTGGCAGGTCGGGCACTTTTTAACATAGTTCTGTGCGTCCTCAACCATAGTTAGCCAGTAATACCCATGCCTCAAGAGTTTCTGAGCTAAAGTTCTACCACCTATGTGTGTGCCACATACTCCTTCATGAACTTCCCTCACAACGTATTCAGCTTCATAAGGAGTGAGGCAACGTAATAGGGGCATTGAGGCTGCTCGTTTGTAGAGCTGATTATCTAACAAAGTGAAATGAGCCGCCCTGCGTTTAATCAACTTTGCAGCAGATGGATCTTCAGGCAGCTCGCCACTATGCAGATAATCTATGAGCGGGGTAGTCCAGCTCGGTGAAGAGGGCTCTGTGCTGAGCAGCTAACACTCGATTGTGAAATCAGTGTAGCTCGGAGCGTCAAGTACTTCCACAATTGTTGACCTATGAGGGTTGATATCTTGTGAGGAGGCTAATTTTGACAGCTCGTCAGCTCGTTGGTTATCTGCTCTGGGTATCTTGTTTATCTGGAAGGAGGCAAATCTCGACTTCAGTCTGTTGACCACAGAGGCATAGCGACCAAGCTGAGGAACCTTGATTTCACAACTGCCATTCACTTGGCCCACCACGAGCTGAGAATCACTGAACACCTTAATGCTCTGCGCTTTCAGCTCGGACGCCAGCTTCAAGCCATAAATGAGGGCTTCATATTCCGCAGCATTATTAATAGTCTGAAATTTAAATCTTAATGCATGCTCGGATTTAAAACCGTCTGGGCCCAATAACACAGCCCCAGCACCCGATCCTTTAATGTTAGCAGCTCCATCAACATACAAGACCCAAACTAGGTGCTTGGGTGCCTTTTCTTCCACAGTTGCCGAGATACACTCCACTAGGAAGTCTGCCACAGCCTGGCCCTTTATGGTTGTGCGCGGCTGAAATTTGAGGTTGTACTCACTCAGCTCGACACTCCATCCGATAAGCCGACCAGAGAGTTCTGGTTTCTGCAATATCTTCCTCAACGGCATATCAGTATAGACAACAATTTGATGGGATTGGAAGTAAGCTCTCAACTTACGAGCTGTGTAGACCAGGGCAAAAGCAGCCTTTTCCGCTAATGGGTAGTTCTACTCGGCGCCTTGTAAAACCTTGCTCACATAACATATAGGCTTCTGATGCTTATTCTCTTCCCCAAGCAAAACCGAACTTACTGCCTCCTCTGTGACCCCCAAATACAGGTATAAACTCTCCCCCTCCACAAGTTTAGACAGCAGGGGTGCTGACGCCAGATATTGCGTGAGCTCGTCAAATGCCTGTTGACACTCCTCGGTCTACTGAAAGTTCTTGGGCTCTCGCAAGGCTTTAAAGAATGGGAGGCACATTTTTGTCGATCTGGCTATGAACCTGTGCAACGTGGCTACACGACTTGTCAGGCGCTGCACATCCTTTACGGTCTTAGGAGCCTCCATCTGCTGAACGGCCTAAACCTTCTCTGGGTTTACTTCAATTCCTTTCTTGGATACTACGTACCCTAGGAATTTTCCTGATTCTACAGTGAACGTGCACTTCAGGGGATTCAACTTCATCTGGGCTTGGCGCAAATTCTGAAACGTCTCACTCAGGTCGGCTATATGGTCCTCAACTCGCACACTGGTGACTATCATGTCATCCACATATACTTCTATGTTCCTGCCGATCTGGAGTTTAAAGATGATTTGCACCAGCTTCTGATATGTAGCACCAACGTTTTTTAAGCCAAACGACATCATGACATAGCAGTAGATTACGTCACTAGCATAAAAAGCTATTTTCTCCTAGTCGTCCAGCAGCAACTGCACCTGGTGGTACCCTAAGCTAGCGTCAAAGAAACTCATCCGCTCGTGCCCAGCTGCCCGCTCGACCAGCTTCTCCACATTTGGTAAGGGATGAGGGTCTTTTGAACATGCCTCATTTAAGTTGGTGAAATCAATACACATTCTCCACTTGCCGTTCAGTTTTTTGACGAGCACAGGGTTGGACACCCACTCCGAATATTCAACTCTCCTGATGAAGCCTACCTGTAGTAGCTTTTGTATCTCTTCATCTATAGCGGCCTGCTTCTCAGGGCCAAAAAGGCGACGTTTCTAAACCACCGGTCTCTTGGTGGGGCCGTACTGAGTTTGTGGACTGTCAACTCTGCTGGGATGCCAGGCATTTCATCCGTAGTCCACGCAAACACGTCTTGATTAACCCTCAAAAACTCCAGAACTTTGCTCGTTCTTCTTCTGTGAGCTTGGTGCCGATCTTGACTGTTCTTTCTGGCACATCAAGGTTTAAAGGGACTATTTCTACTGGCTCTACTGGCTCTGCTTTCTGTTCGACACCCTCAGGTTGATGCTCAATGTCTGCTATGCTCATTGTCTGTTGATCGGGCTGAGTCGACATATTACCTCCAAAAGAGCCTCTCGGGGCTACAGCGAGCTCAACCTTCTTAAATGTATCTTGATAACAGGCTCTAGTCATTTTCTGATTCCCATTTAGTATTCCTACCCCCTGGGGAGTTGGGAATTTCATACAGATATGGGGTTGTGAAATAACAGCCTTCAGCTCGCACAGGGTAACTCTTCTTAATATAGCGTTAAAAGCTTATTCCATCTTGACAACCAAAAAGTTAACAGAAGCCATCCTAAAGCGTGGTTCTGAGCCCACATATATAGGAAGGGTAATAACTCCCTCAACCGGGACGGGCTAGTTGTCCAAACCATATATGGGCCCCTCATACTTCTACAGCGAGCTCGAATTCAGTTACATCTTTTGGAAACAGCTCTAGTATAAGATATCTGGCAAGCTACCAGTATCGATAAACACCTTGTTGACGTTATGGTTGCCTATATGAACCATTGCCACGAAAGGATCTGCATGGAGCATCATAACGTCTGGCTCTCCTTCTACTCACTTGTAATCTGCCGGGCTGAATGTAATAGGCGCATTCTCCCACTCTGCCTCCTCGAATGGCCGCTTCAAAGGTCTGTTCTTGTTGACGGTCATCACCTGTCGGGCATATGCTTTACGACCTCGAGCGCTTTGGCCTCCAGAGTGTATACCACCCGAGATCATGTTTATTGTGCCCGAGGTCGGGGGTATCCCAGCATAGCCTACCCCCTTCCTGTCTTTTTGGTTCTGGGTGGCGGTTCTCTGTCCTTGGCCTCGCCTATTAAATTGACGTCCCCTGTACGCTCTGCCCTACTCAGAAGGATATTGATTGTCCTGATACATGTCCTGTATGCCACCGAGCTGATACCTCTACCCCTAAGGTCGGTCATATCTTTGCACAAAGTGAGTTTGAGATGGTTGCTAGGTATAAGGCTTCTGCACATATCCTTCTAATTTTCCATTGCGAGCTAAGAACTTCAGCTCGTCCTTCAAATGTTGGTAGTCTTCTGTATTGTGACCATAAGTACGATCGTAGTCACAATGCTTGCTCTTGTCTGCCCTTGGGGGATCATGCAATGGGGGTGGGGGTCTTCTAACCCATTGCTGGATTTGTGCTAGGATTTGAGACCTTGGCAAGGTTAACGGAATGTAGTTGGCATACTTTGGAAAGTCAGTTGGATTCCCCCATTGCTCGTTGACTTTCTGCTTTTTCTTTTCTTCTCTCCTCGGTGGTGGTTCATGGCTTTTGCCCTACTTATCATCAGCTCGTCGCTTGGACGACTAGAAGTCTTCTGACAGTATGAAGCTAGCCGACCTGTCATTCACTTCGTTCCACGTCTTTGGTGGGTTTTCTAGCAGGTTGTCCAGGAACCGACCACGCTTCAAACCATGCAATAAGGCAGACAAGCAGATGGTATCGGGGACGTTATCGATGTCTAAAGTGACTTTGTTAAATCGCTGCATGTAGTCCCTCAGAGATTCCCCTTCCTTCTTATGAACTTGCATCAGCTCGGTCGCTGTGCGTTTGATCTCCCTCTACCTCGCAAATTTGTTGGAGGATAGCTTGGCGAGCTGGGAGTAAGAGTCTATAGAGTGTCTGGGGAGTTTATGATACCATCTTCTGGCCGTTGACTTCAGTGTCGCTGGGAACACTTTGCACATCATGGCATCATTGGCATTTTGGATTCTCATGATGGCCTGATAGGTGTGCAGATGTTCATCTGGGTCACCCGAGCCATCATACGTCTCTAGGTGGGGGATTTTGAATCCCTCTTGGTACGGTTCCGCTGTGATGGATAGGTTTAGTGGCGCATTATCCAAATCTAGGGTTTGTTGGTGCGACCTGGGACTCTTCAGCTCGTCAATGGATTTCTGTACATCTCGTAACTGCCTTTCAAGGTCTGCATTCTTACTCATCAGTTCTTCACTGTGCTTGGACGAGCTAGGCTCATTATTTAACTTCTCACTTCCCCTTGGTTTGGTCGGTACTATTATATTGCTCAGAGTGGGGGAGTTTCGAGTTGCAACAACAACAGCTGGCTGTGCATCCCTGTTCAACAAAGGAATCAGGGGGTCATCAGGGATCAGGCGGGCAAGGATTTTACCCATTGCCATTTCAAGAACTCTAGTTCTCTCTTCGAGCTCGGTTGTCCGAGTAGGCTCAATTGACCTTTCAGGTCGTTCTTGCTGTGAGTTGCCTGGTCTGGGATGTCTTTGCCTTGTTCCTGTTGGAATTTGGAATTGTTCAGGTTAGGTTGTATACCCAGTTGGTGTTCTTTCATCATCATCTATTTCACTTAGTTGATCCTGTTCTGCTCCTCCAACAAAAAGGTTTCTTGGCATTGGCCTAAAATCATTCAAGCCGGGTTCAGACAATTGAGTGTCCTCCTGTTCGTCCATTTCATTTCTTGGAGGGCGACTTCCAGTAAAAGTACGAACCATTTTGCCTTTCAGCAGGTTAGGCTACACAACTTCTTGTTCGGGTTCCCACAGACGGTGCCAAATATTTGAGCAGCTTCGTAGTCCAACACTGTTGAAGTCCTTAACTGCTTCTACACCTGAAAATTCCGAGGATGTTTCTTCGGGGAAAACACTCCGACGATCAAGTCAACAATACTCAATATTCTAAAGAGAGATGCTCTCAAGAAGTAATTGCAAAGAGAGAAGCGTAGAGATTAATTACCTTCACTGGAGGTAGTTGGGAGGTATTTATAGCCCCAAGTGCTGACATGCATTAGTACATGTAAGCATCTAATTGGCTCACGTGGCGTTGTCCACGTGGGCATGTTTGTACTTGCTATACCGGTGCTTCATTCTTTTGGGCTAATGGGGACCGGCCTAGGCCCATTATGTACGGCCCAAGTTGAATGTTGGGCCTATTCCAACAATACTCATATGGAACTTTGACAAATAACCATTTTGTACATTTTTAGAAGTTTTAAGACTAATTTGGGAGAGAATAAACTTTTTAGACCAAAGTTTTAACAAATAAATAGTTAATACATCAAATATTTAAATTTTGTCACTTGGCTTGGGGGCTGAAACGACATTCAACATCAACCAATTTATATGCAGACGTTTCACATTTTTTTTATCTTCTACCTCTCCACGCTTTCCCATGCATTTACACACCAACAAATTGAGATTATCAGCCGTTTTCTAATGCAATTACAATTGTTATAGAGCTTCACCATGTAACTCCTCACTTAGTGGGTGATTAAATCATGTAATTTATGTAATCCCTGCCACCAATTTATTACTTCTTAGATTTTCTCTCTCGGTCTCTCTATAATTCACACTCTCTTCTATTATTTTTCTTTTATTTTACAACATAATAAACATTAGGAGACAATGTAAATAATCAAAAACAAAGGTGTGGAACAATTTAAATAATCACAAAGATTTCTTTGAGGTATTACTTGTCCTCGTGTATCTTAGATATTTTATTTTTCACAATTCCTTTCCTGCCAAAAAAACCTAACAGAGGAAAGATTTGCAGAAAAAACTAAGAGCATTTGAAACATTCATAACCCGTTGGAAGTCCGATACTCATGACTCAAGAAATCGATGTGGAAACTGTTGTTGGAGTTCGAAGAACTTGTTGCAGTAACCGTGCTGCTAAACGCTGACTGATGCCACCAACAACACGGCCTCCTAGATTACGTGCTTTGGGTTGTTGAAGGACCTGTCCATTATGCTTCTTCAGTGATCACAATTTCAAACAAAATAAAACTTCAACTGAAAATTTAGATAATCATTGTTAGCTTAGTCTCTGCAACAGTCCTCTCTTCATGAATT